TCAGAAGAGATCATGGGTGGATATGACCCTGTCATCAGACAGAGGTTGGCCAGAGCGGAAAGAAGGGGTGATGGAAGTTGGAAGAAGAAGAATACAAGTGAATCGAGTTCTGATGAAAATGAAGATGGAGACAACGATGAAGATTTGGAGATTAAAGGTGCTTCATATTCAAGAGGATTTTATCCTACAATGACTAGCACAGAAGAAATAGAAAGAGATATAGACCGATGCGTATCATACCTGGATAAGGCCAATAATTTAGAAGAAGTAAGAGAGCTGGAAGAACAACTCAAGAAGCTGTAGATACAGAAGAAAAAACTGCTGAAAAAAGGATCCCAAGAATTGGAGAAGAAGTATACATTGAGGCCAAGACAAGGGAGCACAAGTAAGAAGATGATGCCAGTGATCATTCGAGGACAAAACCTAGAATATAAGCCTTTGCAGAATACCGATATGTCAGATATACTTGAGAAGCTGCCTACTCTTCAAGATGGAGCATATCCTTGGATTTCAAAGTTGGAAGAAATTACGGTGGGAACACAGTCTGCCATAGGAGACATTAAGAGACTTTTGGCTAATCTCCTTGGGATTCCAGGCATGGAAGAAATTTTTCAGAGAGCTGGACTTCATAGATATGTGGGGACTGCAGTGAACGACCCTGAATTGTTGGCTGCAAGTAGAAATCGGCTGTGGAGAGCACTGAGAGATACGTTTCCAACAAATGTGCATCCTGACAACATTCTGATTGACCCACTAGGACAACAAGAAAATCCGAGAGCCTACGTGTCAAGAGTTCATCAAGTGTGGAGAAATATTACTGGAAATGATCCAGATGTGAGTCAAATTGAGCAGTCAATTTTGAGAGCTAAACTACAGATGGGACTGCCCTCACCAGTAAGGAGCAAACTGGCAGAGGTGGTTGGACTTGGGAGCATGACAAAAGGTGTCTATACAGATCATATAGCCCATCAAGTGGATCTGTACCGGAAAAAGGAACACAACCAGAAAGAACAGGACCAAGAAACTCTCAGAAAACTCAATCAAATACAACTGGTGGAGAAGAAGAAGGAGAAGAAAAGCTTTGGTTATGAAGAATCAGTGTGAACCAAATCAACAATCACTGCTACAGCTTCAACTGAACAAGGTCGAATGCAATTGTACCAGCCACAACTAGTGGTACAAGTTGTTTCATATCCATAGATAGTTTCTGGAAAGAAAGAATTTCAGAGGAAGATACAGGAGCAAGTGAAGATCATCTGGAGGACAGGTGAACCCTTTAGGGGAAAAGGAGCAAGGATTCTAGGGATGCCTAGAAGATCCGAAAGGGGGAGTTTCAGCTGATAGCACCAGTTAGGGAAAAAGATCCAACAATTGAAGTGAAAATAAACAAGAAGAGGTTACACATCTCCCTATGTCCAATCAACTAATTAGGACAATCGGATTTGAGGGAGTGAAACAGCTGATTCCTCTTACGGAACCAATTGAGCTCTGCTATGAAAATCAGAAAATTACAATACCCATACTAGTATCAGAACATACACCTATTGCATTGTTGGGAAGAGATGCATTGTGTAAATTGAACTGTACAATAAAATGTACACCAGACGGCTGTCTGGTAGAGGTGCCAAAGGAAAATGTTTACCAATTGTCGATGACGACAGAGATGGATTCTTCTTCAGTATTCTGGATTGGAAATCTTAGTGAAGATTTTTTGAAGCAGGCTAAGATATGGGAGAAATTCATTGTGACAAACATGCCAGATGCGAGGCTTCCGGAATATCCATTTCATTGTACGCTCAAGTATTTCAAGAATGCTGCTCAATCGGACTCAGAGGAATGGTTGAGTCATCAACCAAAGAAAGTTCAACTTAGCTCATGTTGCATAATTTTAGGACCACAATGAGCAGCTATGAAGATAAACACAGACGATTATCTGGATAAAGAATTTGAGATTAAGAAGAGTGTGCCACATGTGACCTTGTTGGTTTCTGAAGGCTATGAGCAGAAGCAAATAGGAGAAATGATGACAGAAGCAGAGAAAGCTGTTTTCATACCGATGAAAGAGAACTTGGCGATTTGGAGGAGTGAAGATCATCGATTTCTCAAAATCATGATTTCGGCTCAAGGACAAGGAGAGCCACAAGCTGTACGGATAACACACGAACCTATTTGCAGTGTGAAGATGGATTCAGACCCTATGAAAGAGGAGATGTTGCAACAAGTTCCAGAATGTTTGTGGTCTCAACACAGTACCGATATTGGACTTGTGAAATCAGCCCAATTGAGGTGAAAGTTGAGGAGCCAGACCTCCTTGGAAGAATCAGTATCCATTGAAAGATTAAGCAATCCAAGGGATTGAACCAGAAATTGAAGGACTTTCGAAAGCAAGTGTTTTGAAGACAATGAAAAAATCCTTAGAGTAACAATCAATTATTGTTTTGGAGAAACCATGATGATTTAGGAAGCTATGGGTTAGCTAATGTTGCAAGAGGGGAGATTAGGATAAAGATCACAAAGGAGTATGGTTTTTGGGAACCATATTTTCTTGAATAGATTGACTATGTCATAGGTAGGTGCATAATCTGTCTGAAAAATAATGTTTGACTGTTATTCTTGGTTACATTCATATACCAAGAGGTGCATAAGATGTCCAACTAAGCTAAAATATGCTCAGTCGGTTGCAAAGTTGTTGTGTAAAGAAGTCATAAGCAGGTGGGAATTTCCCGATTTAATATCCTCAGAAAATGGGAAAGAGTTTTGTGAATAAATCAGTGAAATGGTTTTTTGAAAGAAAAAAAAACAATTAGAGAAAAAGAAAAATTTGGAAAAAGTCACACTAAAATGTTATGAAAACTAGGGTTGAAATAACTCTAGGAAATGTTGAATATCTGATTGTGGGATAATTATATTATTGTGATATTTAGTATTTTCTTATGAATCAAAGGGGGAAATGGAATTCATATCATTTTTGGAATTCTTATATTTTTAGTTGATATTGAAGTTTTAATTTGAATGTGTTGTTTTGCAAAAGATACTGTTTGGTATTTTCTTTTCTTCCAGAAGCATAGGGGGAATATGTAGAGGGACGCAAATACTCAAACATGGACAATATGAATGGACTGGAGGAAGTGGAACAAGGAAGGTGTGGAAATGTTCAGATTCCATCATCGACGTCGCATTGAAAGTCGACACTGTGGAGGAGATGAAATGTAGTGGACTACATTCCAGTGTTATATTCTTTCTGTATAAATTTTTGAAGAATTATGTTTTCTGTTTTGGGTACATGTGGGGACCTCAGATGTTTTTGTTTATTTCGTTGAAGCTTAGGGATATTGGGTCTAGGCAGGGACAGAGAGAATCCACAGGAGGGTCCGATGGGTCGACCAGCCTGAATGTGGACATTTTGATTGTATTTTGTTTGCTGGGGTTTTCATATGTATTCAATTGCATCATAGCTTAAAATGTATTGATAAAGATTTATAAATTGGTCTGGAGTACTTAGGTGGTCGCCTAGGGCAGAGGGGCCGTGAGATAATTTTCCTGTCTTGATTGACTGATGGATATTTGGAATGAAAGCTGCCAGACAGGTTTTTCGCTCTTACACTCCATAACAATTTATTTACACTCCATAACAATTTATTTACACTCCATAACAATGTATTTACACTACATACAAAAATGTGTCTATATAAACATGTGTTTACTCTCCATAAATTTTGATTTATTGCTAAAGTTACTCAAGAACAAAAATTGTTATTTGTCATAATCCTATTATTTTTGTTTTCGAGACTTAATTAGTCTCGAAGGGGGGAAATATGTAGTGTCTGAGGGTCTATGATTGTGCTGACGTTTGCAAAAGTGTGTTAGAGGAACTTGGCTCTGCTTGCTGAAACATCTGGAAAGCATTACTAAATTCCTGGAAAAGAGGATATGTGAAAAGCCAGGGATTGGTGTATTAAAATCACGCCATACTATGTCACATAGGATATAAATACCATGTCTTGAACAAAGGAGATAAGAATAGCAAATCACAGAATTGGGTCCGGCTGTTCTTCAGATATCTGCAGGTATCTGTAAATCTGACGCTGAAACTCTTTGTTATAATAAACCTTTATAATCAAAGTACAGTGTCAGCGGATCTTCTTATCATCACGGCATTATCAGCATAGTTGTCTTTTCACCACACCCTGCTATAGGATATTGGTCTCTTGAGATTAAACTGACACAAATGTTAGTTCCTCGCACATTAGCAGATAAACTGTAGTTAGAGGAGGGAAAGTATTTTTCAAAAATTATGCTCAGCTTTACCCAACCGTTATAGGCAAATGCATTACACTCAGAGCCATATTTAGATAGAGTATATGGCTCTGATTACATTGTACCAATAATAGTCCCATTCGTTTTCAGCACAATTAATTTATGTAGGCAGACTACAGCCGTGAATTAAGTTTAAAATAGTTTAGAGCCTGTTCACAAACCTTACAACTCTTGTCATGTATTATGTCTCATTATGTGTTTTGAAAAAAGGTTGACAATGTGCAAAACACATCTATCGTCAAGCGTATTATGTTATGTAGCTTCATCACCAGTAGGTGGTGCAATTGTATAATTTTAGATCAGCTATGAATCGACGAATCAGCTGCACAAAATTGGTATTTCTTGTGTTTCACAAATGTGCTTGGTTAAAATAATCTATTATAATATGATTTGTTTATAATCCATATTTATCTGGATGATAGGCCTATGTCCCACTCATTTCCCTCGTGACCATTATAATTTGTTTGACAATTGTGTGTCTGGACTTTAACATTGGTTGTTCGTTCTTTTCCATGGGAAGCTAGAATAGATTATTATTTAATCAAAAATAAATAACAATTTGCTAAAGATATTGAATAGATAGTCAAAATATCGATAAGATATTCTCTTTGAATGAGATAAATAAACACATACCGTACATATTGTCGTCTTTTGATGACATCATCACTGGGACTTTCCGGATGCGTTGGGGTTGACTTGTAAAAGCTGTCTTAAAACAGGATAACTCTAGCTAATATATCACCGCAGGGAAGAGAAAGACAGATCGAAGGAAACCATGAAGGAGGGTAAAGATCCAAATGACACCGAATGGTTAAAATATTAAAACTATCTGTTGTCAACAGATATATTCAAAAACAGAATGTCAACAACGCGGCCCCTTCTCGGTATGAAGCGAGTCACCGAGGTAACCAGTTCGGAACCCCGGGGAAACAGGCTATCACCAGCAGCGAGCAAACAACAGCAAGAGGCCCTGGCAGTGGACGAATTTGCGGTCCTTGAAAACAAGCAAGAAGAACTGAAATGCGCTAAGCCCAGAGTAGAACAGGTTTTTCAGGTAGCTTTCACAATTATCGGCCTTTTGGACACTGGAGCCCACAGTAGTACAGCATCAAGGCAGATATGGCTTCAACTCAAGGGAAAGAGAGACGACGTGTCGAGGGCAAAGGTAAACATTGACTGTGATTGATTAAAATTAGCTTGAGGCTTATAACTTTGATGCCCTTTGTTATATTTACTTATTTTTGTAAGTCAGTTATGCAGTTCAACAGCAACGGCCTTTAACGTTAGTAGAGAAAAGGGCCATCCTGAAATGAAGCGGCAAATCAGGCAGTATAATCGCATGGTCATGTGGTACCGAATGGAATAGCTACTATGCTAATTGAGAAGTTGTTTGGGTTTCATAATCTGATAAGGCTTTGTGTCATCTGCCTTCTAGCTAATAATATATCAGTAAAGATTATAGATCTAACGTTAGAGTCCATCCAGGGGCCAGGTTTACATCATTTCAAAATATCCCGATTGCATGACAGATGTCAATGACAGACGGACAAGCTGTTCTTAGCGTTCCTTTTGTTTTCATTTCAACACTGACTTCTCGTTCATTCTACTACTCAAAAAACACCAGTCGTATCTTGGCCACATCTTTTACATTTCTGTATCTTGAGTTTTCCCTTGCCAACATCCTGTAGCAGGCAAGTGAAGTTAAATGTACAGATCACCGAATTGGGTAATATCAATGTCACTGTTCGACTCAACGCGGAAACGATTACTATTGGTGCCAGTAAATTTGGAATCTCCTCCCACCCAATTGAGAACACAGAAAATGGAAACCCCAACACAGTTATGTCTTGCCCCATCATGTCTCTTTCCAGTGTGTAGTCATCAGGAAACCATGTCCACTGTATGGAGAGGAGACACGTATGCATTGTGACAGGGCCTTCTTTGACATAGCCAAACTTGAGGCTGATTCATCAAATATTTCTGGAAAGAGGTTGAGATTTCCTCATTGGGTTTCAGTTGGTTTTTGACAACTTCCCGTCTTCCACGTTTTAATCTCACCAATTTACGGTCAATGTGGTCATGACAGAGTTGACAGAGTTGTCAGTGAAGATGAGTGATGTTTCTTGGGTAGGCGTAGAGGGGGTATCCCTGTGCATCCTGCTATCAGTTTCAATTGGCTTGTTACCCCTTTAAGCTTCAAACATGGACCTTCTCGTGTGAATGATATTTTTTTTGTCATGTCTACTTTTCTAACTGGTGTTGACTCTGTTGTTCCAGGAGTACCTGAAAGGCATGTGTGACCCAGAGCTGCAGAAGGTGGAGCGCTACCCTGTGGACATGCACTGCATCTTTGCTGGTGCCCGGGGTCTGTTCCTTGACCGACTGCTGCGGGACACCAGCGCTGAGGTTGTGATGCTGGAGCCGGGCAGACTGCGCCTGCTGGGCTGTGTTGAGTCTGTTGTCATGGCACAGAGCCGCGTGCAGCAGTTTGTTGCTCTCTTCCAAGAGAAGCGCAGCCTGCCCGGAGATAGGGAGCTGGCTGTGAAACGCACCTTCAAGACGTTTGTGGAGGAGCGAGATGATAAGTATGCCATGGAGCTGCTCCTGCTGCCCAGTGCCCTGAAGGAGGAGCTGCTAGGTCTGGCCCAGAGCCCCACTCAGCCTGATGGTGCTATAGACGTGGACCAGGATCGCTCCCAGAGCAGCACCCCTGTCACTGACCTCTCCAACCGCATCCTGGACACCAGCTTTGAGGAGAAGGCGGTTGGGGCTGCAGCCGGGACTGAAGCGGGGTTGCTGAATGGCGTCCGTCCCTCCCACAAGCGCCGCTCGTCAGAGAGCGAGCTGAGGGACACCAAGAGGCAGTACTCCCTGGAGAGGAGGGATGAGTCTATGGAGAGAGAGCGCCACGCTGTGGCCGGTGACAGCCAAGTTAAGACCCCCTCCAAGACCAACATGGGGCTGATGGTGCTGGACTCTAGTGATGGTGCGGATGACGGGGAGGCAGTGAGCCCTGAGACCAACCTGCGGTGCCTGGTGAACTTCTTCAGGACCATGGGCTACCAGCAGGAGGTGGTGGAGCGGGTGGTGAAGGAGACAGGCCAGACAGAGGACACTTTCCTGCTGCTGGAGTGCATTGTGGAGGAGAGCCAAAGAACAGAGAGGCAGCAAGGAGGGGCATCCTCAACCCACAACCCTGAGTCTTCCTCCTCCTCATCCTCTACTCTCTCCAGGGATAAGGACAGAGGGCTAGATAGAGTGCCAAACCGAGCCCTGGATGTAAAGTCCAAGGAGAACATTAAGCCACCCAGCAGCAATGGTGTTGGCCAGAGGGGACAGTGTAGCAGCATGCTGCAGACAGTGACACTAAAGAGGAGCAGCAGTGCTCAGGGGGCTGCTTACGATATCATCACCATCAATGATGACGAGGACAACACAGACACACTGACTGGCAGTAAAGCCAGGATGGCAGAGCAGATGGATATTCCATCGGGGCCCAGGATGGACTACCTGTCCCGGGGAGGGGCTCAGACCATGGGGCCAGTACGTGTGGAAAGTGTGACGGCACTGCGGAGCACACCACAGCGCCCGACCCAGCCAGCAGACACACGGCCAGGCTGCTCCTACCAGACCCTGTCAGCCAGGGTCCCCCCACCCCACCCAGAGCCTGCTCCACCACCCATGACTGCCACGACCCGCTTCCATGATTCCCTGAGAAACCCCTACACCCTGACCCTACAGAACGAGCCTGGACGCCCTGATCTCCGCCACATCATCATCGACGGCAGCAACGTGGCCATGGCGTGAGTAACCTCCCCTTACTATACCCCCTCTGTAGGAGGATGTGGAACAACACTGAGAGCCCACACTCATTTTCCCATCATCAGATATGACTGTTTGGAACCACCTGTGTGTAGGCCTATGTGAGCGTTGGTGTGTGTGTGAAAGCAGGAGTGTAACCCTCAGTCAGGACTTTCTCAAGGGTAACATAAAAGCTCATAGCTGAGAGCTCTTCCAGTAACCCTCTGTGAATGCATGAGTAGGTAGGCCTAGCGCATGGCCGCAGTGGCTTTGGCAAGGCTAATGACTGTCCAGATGGGAAAATCTCTCTCTGAAATAATTGTCAGTAATATAACTCCAACTATCTCTCAACTTTTGTCAGTTCTCCTCTGTTTCTTACTTCGCACACCATTTTATTCTGTCCACTGAAGTCGTTACTGGAAGTTGATTTAGTCCGAATAATTGTGGTAGAGGTATATCACCCTTTCAGACTCAGACTAATCTGACTGGCACAGCTAACTTCCGTTTGTTGTGGATTGATCAGGACTATGAGTTAGGCTATCTATCTAGCAGTGGCGGTCAGTGCCGTTTAAGATGAGGGAGGACAATTATTTTTTCATGAGCATGGCCTTTCTATTACAGCATTTTGGATGACTCGTTCATATTCCATTCACCCAGTTCAATGTAACAGCGATAGGTTTAGGCTACTACATGATACTCAAATTTTCCCTATACCCATCATGAGGTTGCTACAACCTAGCCTATGAATGAAAGTTTACAACGTAGGTGCACACAGGTCGAGAGACAAATTTGAGGTAACAGACAGTGACATTCAATGCTGCCTTGCACACTCTTCCTGCATCTAGCTGATATAGGGTGTAATCATTAGTCCAACAGTTGCAAACAAGAGTTTCTATTGGACAAGTTCAGGTATGTTTATCCCCGTTTTGTTCTGTTTGCTTCCATTTTAAGAAACGTTTTTCAACAGAATCGGTGGAATGAATACACCCCTGATCACGCGTAAACAGAGTTCACTCTGATAACAGCCACGTTATATTCCTTCTCTTCCCTTCGCTTGTGGACTTCAATGCACAACACATCAGCTCTATAGCGAAAAAACCTTTCCAAACCAAACCGCTACACACAGCCTACATCATTGTCACCATATTAGCTAAAGTAACATCATAGTCAGCATAGCTAATAGAACTAACGTGTTAGTAAATCCACTACAATCATGCAGTAACGTTAGTGTACAGTCAGTAAGCAGTTACACCGGCGGCCCCAGTGGCAATACATTTGTAATACCAAAAGCTTACCTTGAAGAGTTCCAGTGTTGTGTAGGAAAGTCATAGCCAGCTAGCTAACATAGCATCCCTCTATTTGAGCAGGGTGTTTCAGTAGGCTAAACTAGCAAACTGCAGTTGCTAGCTAAGTAAGTGAAACTCTTGCTTCTCCTTCATTGTGGAAGAAATTAATTTGTTCAAAACTGTTCAACTATTGTCTTTCTCTCTCTTTGAGTCAACTACTCAATACATTTTGTACACTGCAGTGCTAGCTAGCTGTAGCTTATGTTTTCAGTACTAGATTCATTCTCTGATCCTTTGATTGGGTGGACAACATGTCAGTTCATGCTGCAAGAGCTCTGATAGGCTGTAGGACGTCCTCCGGAAGTTATCATAATTACTGTGTAAGTCTATGGAAGGGGGTGAGAACCATGAGCCTCCTAGGTTTTGTATTGAAGTCAATTTACCCAGAGGACGGAAACTAGCTGTCCTCCGGCTACACCATGGTGCTACCCTACAGAGTGCTGTTGAGGCTACTGTAGACCTTTGCAAAATAGTTTTAATCAGTTATTTGGTGACGTGATTATATTTAGTATAGTTTTATCTAAAAAGGATCACTTTTGTAAATGTTTTACCATAATTTTTTTAAGTGAAATTCACTTTGGAGGATGGTCCTTCCCTTCCTCCTCTGAGGAGCCTCCACTGCTATCTAGCTACCTCATCAGAATGAGGTCAGAAAATCACATTTCATGATAAGATCTCAGAGTACATATGCTATAGGGACATCCAAGTACGAACAAGTATGGGGGTTTTATGAGAAAATTACAAGGGGAAATAAAGCTTTTTGTATATTTGGCGATTATATTTCTAGGTTGACAAGGTGATTTTACTATCCACGTTAGTGGTGCTGGAGTTAGTTGCACATCCTGTTTGAACTCAGAGGGAACTTCTCTGTAACTTTGCATTGCCCCACAAAATGAGACGTGTTTGAAGCTTGTGTGTGTTCAATGTTCTCTGGCCATTTGTTTGTAATGGTTGTTATGAGATCTACTGGACCCCCATATCTGCCCATATTTTCCAGAACTCTACCCTGACTAGCCTATCTCCAAGTAATATAAATAAACCCTATTTTACTTTGTTTTTTAGATATAGAATGAGATTAGTGTATTGGGAGGGATCAACAACTCTGGGTAGAATAAATAAATAAAATATGTGTACAAAGGCTGCATTTAAACTCTCCATATCTTTATTTTTGGATTGCAGGACTGATAACTTCCTGCCAAAAGCTGGCTCTGACCAGAGGGACATTCTACTCTTTGTTAGGCTACATCTTATATGTTTTTGTAGACGTCAGAATGTCTTTCACTCCTTCAATGTGTTACTTTTCTGAGTGGCTTTCTTTCTCAAACTGGGCTGGCACAGTAATTGTATAATTGTGTAATTGACGATTTAAGGATAAAGACCATCATGAAAGTAAAATAACCGTCATAGCCGTTCTAGTAAAATAATGTTTTTATTTTAATGAACTTCATATTCAATTCGACAAACTTTACCCAAAAGCAGCAAAGTAAAAGTAAGCCTGGTTTACATCTAACAGCCAATATGAGACGAGAGGACGCAAAACTGGCCAGTTTTAGAATTTTGTGTTTAGGACAAACAGCTGACTGAAGACGGGAGGAAGGCTGGGCATTCAGAAACATGACACGTGCGGTTGAGTTAGTAACTCTACAACTTGATGGAAGTTTTGTTCCTTGTTTCAGCAAGTTGTTGTTGTAGCAAACTAGTCTTGGTTGCCGAGGCAACCCCCACCCCCCACCATTCCTGCAGCACATGCAATCAGGAGGAGAGGAGAAAATGTGTGTAAAATTTGCTGCTTTTGGGTAAAGTTTGTCTACTTTCTTTACTATAGCTTTTTGCTATTCAAACGATTATAGTGGTGACCATCACAGCCCTACTTGTTACTCATCTGTGACAATACTGTCTGAAGGCAATCCTCAATTTGTCAATCTGAAATACAACAATCACTTTATGTATTAGGCTAGTTTATAAGCCATTTCTAACCTAATCATTCCTAAGTAACCCTTCCTCCTTGTGCTCCTCTGTAGGCATGGTCTCCACCGCTTCTTCTCCTGCCGGGGGATAGCCATCGCTGTGGAGGCCTTCTGGAGGCAGGGCCACCGGGAGATCACCGTCTTTGTGCCTCAGTGGAGGCAGAAGAGAGACCGCTGCACCACAGGTCAGAACAAACACACACCACAGCACAGGCCACCCCAACCTGGGCTCAATCTCATCCCTCTGGTTTTGGGTGGTAAAGAAGTGACATGAAATGTACCGGTAGTACAGCCATCCAAGGTTTTTGTCAGGAGAAAGATGATTGTACTTTGGCAAAAAGTTGTGAGGATTACTGTTTGAGTGGTAATAATGTGCTCCACATGTTTGTCTGTTATGTGTGCTCTGTTAAGGATAAGGTCTTAATGTGTGTATTTGCTCCACGTGTCTCAATAGAACAACATTACCTGAACCAACTGGAAGACCTGCGTCTGCTCTCCTTCACTCCTTCCAGAGAGGTCTGTGGACAGAGGATTTCCTCCCATGATGACAGGTACTGCTGAGTCACACATCTCACCTCGTCATACAGCCAGCCCACCCTCTGTCATCTGCTGCCACCTCATCCATACTCACCCTGTCCCACAGCCTCGCCCACATTCCTTACTGCCACCTCATCCATACTTGCCCTGTCCCACAGCCTCGCTCACATTCCCTGTTGCCACCTCATCCATACTCACCCTGTCCCACATTCCCTGCTGCCACCTCATCCATACTCACCCTGTCCCACATTCCTTACTGCCACCTCATCCATACCTACCCTTTGTCACAGCCTCGCCCACATTCCCTGCTGCCACCTCATCCATACTCACTAGGGTTGAATGGCGGGAACCCGGTTACCGAGATTTACTGCCCAAAACCACTCCCTTTTCCCAGGATAAATAACTGCGAGAAACCGGTCAATTATAATAAATGATTTAAATGAACAGCATGCCGTGAAATGGAACTGTTCACTTATATGCCATGTCTAAATCTGGTTTCTCTACAACCTTCTCTCTGGTCACTGCATGATGAATCATCAACGCTCAGGGTGGGGACCGACAGCCCATCTCAGTATGTAGACCTGCACTATATATACTAAAGTATGTGGACACCCCTTCAAATTAGTGGATTCGGCTATTTCAGCCACACCGTTGCTGACAGGTGTGTAAAATCGAGAACAAAGCCATGCAATCTCCATAGACAAACATTGTCAGTAGAATGGCCTTACTGAAGTGCTCAGTTCCAAACTGCCTCTGGAAGCAACGTCAGCACAAGAACTGTTCGTCGGTAGCTTCGTGAAATGGGTTTCCTTGGCCGAGCAGCCGCACACAAGCCTAAGATCACCATGCGTAATGCCAAGCGTCGGCTGGAGTGGTGTAAAGCTCGCCGCCATTGGACACTGGAGCAGTGGAAACGCGTTCTCTGGAGTGATGAATCACGCTTCACCATCTGGCAGTCCGACGGAAGAATCTGGGTTTGGCAGATGCCAGGAGAACGCTACCTGCCCCAATGCATAGTGCCAACTGTAAAGTTTGGTGGAGGAGGAATAATGGTCTGGGGCTGTTTTTCATGGTTCGGGCTAGGCCCCTTAGTTCCAGGTAAGGGAAGTCTTAACGCTACAGCATACAATGACATTCTAGACGATTCTGTGCTTCCAACTTTGTGGCCCTTTGCTGAAACAGGAAGGCCCTTTCCTGTTTCAGCATGACAACGCCCCCATTCACTAAGTGAGGTCCATATTGAAATGGTTTGTCGAGATCGGTGTGGAAGAACTTGACTGGCCTGCACAGAGCCCTGACCTCAACCCCAACGAACACCTTTGGGATGAATTGGAACGCCGACTGCGAGCCAGGCCTAATCGCCCAACATCAGTGCCCGACCTCACTAATCTTGTGGCTGAATGGAAGTAAGTCCCCGCAGCAATGTTCCAACATCTAGTGGAAGGCCTTCCCAGAAGAGTGGAGGCTGTTATAGCAGCAAAGGGGGACCAACTCCATATTAATGCCCATGTCATCATGGTCACTTTTTTTCTTGTGACAGGTAGACAGACCTACATTTGCTGCAGCATAGCCTATGCTACAGTAATATAAAGGCAGAATGTGCGGCTAATTTACATATCTCCATCCGGCTTTCGGGGTCACCTTATTTTTTTATTGTAAAGATGATTTTTATCTTTTTTGCAGCTGCAGAGTTTTAAAACACTCCTATATCGTTGCTTTAAATCAGTGCGCGAGCACTCTCTCGCAGTCTTTCTCTCCATCAATTCCATTCAAACTGCATTCAAATTGATAATCCTGTTCAAGATTGATATATATATATATATAATATACAGTGGGGAGAACAAGTATTTGATACACTGCCGATTTTGCAGGTTTTCCTACTTAACAAAGCATTTAGAGGTCTGTAATTTTTTATCATAGTACACTTCACCGTGAGAGACGGAATCTAAAATCCAGAAAATCACATTGTATTTTTTAAAGTAATTAATTTGCATTTTATTGCATGACATAAGTATTTGATACATCAGAAAAGCAGAACTTATATTTAGTACAGAAACCTTTGTTTGCAATTACAGAGATCATACGTTTCTGTAGTCTTGACCAGGTTGCACACACTGCAGCAGGATTTTGGCCCCTCCTCCTACGACTTCTCCAGACCTCAGGTTTCGGGGCGTCACTTGCATAGGACTTTCACTCCTCTAAATTTTCTTGGGTTCAGGTTGGAGCTGGCTTAGGCCTCCGTGGGAATTATTAGGAAATGGAAACATACAAGACCACTGATAATCTCCCTCGATCTGGGGCTCCACGCAAGATCTCACCCCGTGGGGTCAAAATGATCACAAGAACGGTGAGCAAAAATCCCAGAACCACACGGGGGGACCTAGTGAATGACCTGCAGAGAGCTGGGACCAAAGTAACAAAGCCTACCATCAGTAACACACTACGCCACCAGGGACTCAAATCCTGCAGTGCCAGACGTGTCCCCCTGCTTAAGCCAGTACATGTCCAGGCCCGTCTGAAGTTTGCTAGAGTGCATTTGGATGATCCAGAAGATGATTGGGAGAATGTCATATGGTCAGATGAAACCAAAATATAACTTTTTGGTAAAAACTCAACTCGTCGTGTTTGGAGGACAAAGAATGCTGAGTTGCATCCAAAGAACACAATACCTACTGTGAAGCATGGGAGTGGAAACATCATGCTTTGGGGCTGTTTTTCTGCAAAGGGACCAGGACGACTGATCCGTGTAAAGAAAATAATGAATGGGGCCATGTATCGTGAGATTTTGAGTGAAAACCTCCTTCCATCAGCAAGGGCATTGAAGATGAAACGTGGCTGGGTCTTTCAGCATGACAATGATCCCAAACACACCGCCAGGGCAACGAAGGAGTGGCTTCGTAAGAAGCATTTCAAGGTCCTGGAGTGGCCTAGCCAGTCTCCAGATCTCAACCCCATAGAAAATCTTTGGAGGGAGTTGAAAGTCAGTGTTGCCCAGCCACAGCCCCAAAACATCACTGCTCTAGAGGAGATCTGCACGGAGGAATGGGCCAAAATACCAGCAACAGTGTGTGAAAACCTTGTGAAGACTTACAGAAAACGTTTGACCTGTGTCATTGCCAACAAAGGGTATATAACAAAGTATTGAGAAACTTTTGTTATTGACCAAATACTTATTTTCCACCATCATTTGCAAATAAATTCATAAAAAATCCTACAATGTGATTTTCTGGATTTTTTTTCCTGATTTTGTCTGTCATAGTTGACGTGTACCTATGATGAAAATTACAGGCCTCTCTCATCTTTTTAAGTGGGAGAACTTGCACAATTGGTGGCTGACTAAATACTTTTTTCCCCCACTGTATATACTAAAGTATGTGGACACCCCTTCAAATTAGTGGATTCGGCTATTTCAGCCACACCGTTGCTGACAGGTGTGTAAAATCGAGAACAAAGCCATGCAATCTCCATAGACAAACATTGTCAGTAGAATGGCCTTACTGAAGTGCTCAGTTCCAAACTGCCTCTGGAAGCAACGTCAGCACAAGAACTGTTCGTCGGTAGCTTCGTGAAATGGGTTTCCTTGGCCGAGCAGCCGCACACAAGCCTAAGATCACCATGCGTAATGCCAAGCGTCGGCTGGAGTGGTGTAAAGCTCGCCGCCATTGGACACTGGAGCAGTGGAAACGCGTTCTCTGGAGTGATGAATCACGCTTCACCATCTGGCAGTCCGACGGAAGAATCTGGGTTTGGCAGATGCCAGGAGAACGCTACCTGCCCCAATGCATAGTGCCAACTGTAAAGTTTGGTGGAGGAGGAATAATGGTCTGGGGCTGTTTTTCATGGTTCGGGCTAGGCCCCTTAGTTCCAGGTAAGGGAAGTCTTAACGCTACAGCATACAATGACATTCTAGACGATTCTGTGCTTCCAACTTTGTGGCCCTTTGCTGAAACAGGAAGGCCCTTTCCTGTTTCAGCATGACAACGCCCCCATTCACTAAGTGAGGTCCATATTGAAATGGTTTGTCGAGATCGGTGTGGAAGAACTTGACTGGCCTGCACAGAGCCCTGACCTCAACCCCAACGAACACCTTTGGGATGAATTGGAACGCCGACTGCGAGCCAGGCCTAATCGCCCAACATCAGTGCCCGACCTCACTAATCTTGTGGCTGAATGGAAGTAAGTCCCCGCAGCAATGTTCCAACATCTAGTGGAAGGCCTTCCCAGAAAAGTGGAGGCTGTTATAGCAGCAAAGGGGGACCAACTCCATATTAATGCCCATGTCATCATGGTCACTTTTTTTCTTGTGACAGGTAGACAGACCTACATTTGCTGCAGCATAGCCTATGCTACAGTAATATAAAGGCAGAATGTGCGGCTAATTTACATATCTCCATCCGGCTTTCGGGGTCACCTTATTTTTTTATTGTAAAGATGATTTTTATCTTTTTTGCAGCTGCAGAGTTTTAAAACACTCCTATATCGTTGCTTTAAATCAGTGCGCGAGCACTCTCTCGCAGTCTTTCTCTCCATCAATTCCATTCAAACTGCATTCAAAATTGATAATCCTGTTCAAGATTGATATATATATATATATATATACAGTGGGGAGAACAAGTATTTGATACACTGCCGATTTTGCAGGTTTTCCTACTTACAAAGCATTTAGAGGTCTGTAATTTTTTATCATAGGTACACTTCAACCGTGAGAGACGGAATCTAAAAATCCAGAAAATCACATTGTATTATTTTAAAGTAATTAATTTGCATTTTATTGCATGACATAAGTATTTGATACATCAGAAAAGCAGAACTTAATATTTAGTACAGAAACCTTTGTTTGCAATTACAGAGATCATACGTTTAAAGATTTTCTATTGGGTTCAGGTCTGGAGACTGGCTAGGCCACTCCAGGACCTTGAGATGCTTCTTACGGAGCAACTCCTTAGTTGCCATGGCTGTGTGTTTCGGGTCGTTGTCATGCTGGAAGACCCAGCCACGACCCATCTTCAATGCTCTTACTGAGGGAAGGAGGTTGTTGGCCAAGATCTCGCGATACATGGCCCCATCCATCCTCCCCTCAATATGGTGCTGTCGTCCTGTCCCCTTTGCAGAAAAGCATCCCCAAAGAATGATGTTTCCACCTCCATGCTTCACGGTTGGGATGGTGTTCTTGGGGTTGTACTCATCCTTCTTCTTCCTCCAAACACGGCGAGTGGAGTTTAGACCAAAAAGCTATATTTTTGTCTCATCAGACCACATGCCCTTCTCCCATTCCTCCTCTGGATCATCCAGATGGTCATTGGCAAACTTCAGACGGGCCTGGACATGCGCTGGCTTGAGCAGGGGGACCTTGCGTGCGCTGCAGGATTTTAATCCATGACGGCGTAGTGTGTTACTAATGGTTTTCTTTGAGACTGTGGTCTCAGCTCTCTTCAGCTCATTGACCAGATTCTGCCGTGTAGTTCTGGGCTGATCCCTCACCTTCCTCATGATCATTGATGCCCCACAAGGTGAGATCTTGCATGGAGCCCCAGACCGAGGGTGATTCACCGTCATCTTGAACTTCTTCCATTTTCTAATAATTGCGCCAACAGTTGTTGCCTTCTCACCAAGCTGCTTGCCTATTGTCCTGTAGCCCATCCCAGCCTTGTGCAGGTCTACAATTTTATCCCTGATGTCCTTACACAGCTCTCTGGTCTTGGCCATTGTGGAGAGATTGGAGTCTGTTTGATTGAGTGTGTGGACAGGTGTCTTTTATACAGGTAGCGAGTTCAAACAGGTGCAGTTAACAGGTAATGAGTGGAGAACAGGAGGGCTTCATAAAGAAAAACTAACAGGTCTGTGAGAGCCGGAATTCTTACTGGTTGGTAGGTGATCAAATACTTATGTCATGCAATAAAATGCAAACTAATTACTTAAAAATCATACAATGTGTTTTTCTGGATTTTTGTTTTAGATTCCGTCTCTCACAGTTGAAGTGTACCTATGATAAAAATTACAGACCTCTACATGCTTTGTAAGTAGGAAAACCTGCAAAATCGTCAGTGTATCAAATAGTTGTTCTCCCCACTGTATATATACAGTTGAAGTCGGAAGTTTACATACACCTTAGCCAAATACATTTAAACTCAGTTTTTCACAATTCCTGACATTTAATCCTAGTAAAAATTCCCTGTCTTAGGTCAGTTAGGATCACCACTTTATTTTAAGAATGTGAAATGTCAGAATAATAGTAGAGTGATTTATTTAAGCTTTTATTTATTTCAGTGGGTCAGAAGTTTACATACACTCAATTAGTATTTGGTAGCATTGCCTTTAAATTGTTTAACTTGGGTCAAATGTTTCAGGTAGCTTTACACAAGCTTCCCACAATAAGTTGGGTGAATTTTGGCCCATTCCTCCTGACAGAGCTGGTGTAACTGAGTCAGGTTTGTAGGCCTCCTTGCTCACACACGCTTTTTCAGTTCTGCCCACAATTTCTATAGGATTGAGGTCAGGGCTTTGTGATGGCCACTCCAATACCTTGACTTTGTTGTCCTTAAGCCATTTTGCCACAACTTTGGAAGTATGCTTGGGGTCATTGTCCATTTGGAAGACCCATTTGCGACCAAGCTTTAACTTCCTGACTGATGTCTTGAGATGTTGCTTCAATATATCCACATAATTTTCCTTCCTCATGATGCCATCTATTTTGTGAAGTGCACCAGACCCTCCTGCAGCAAAGCACCCCCACAGCATGATGCTGCCACCCCTGTGCTTCACGGTTGGGATGGTGTTCTTCGGCTTGCAAGTTCCCCCTTTTTCCTCCAAACATAACGATGGTCATTATGGCCAAACAGTTATATTTTTGTTTCATCAGAACAGAGGACATGTCTCCAAAAAGTAAGATCTTTGTCCCCATGTGCAGTTGCAAACCGTAGTCTGGCTTTTTTATGGCGGTTTTGGAGCAGTAGCTTCTTCCTTGCTGAGCGGCTTTTCAGGTTATGTTGATATAGGACTCGTTTTACTGTGGATATAGATACTTTTGTACCTGTTTCCTCCAGCATCTTCACAAGGTCCTTTGCTGTTGTTCTGGGATTGATTTGCACTTTTCGCACCAAAGTACGTTCATCTCTAGGAGACAGAATGCGTCTCCTTCCTGAGCGGTATGACGGCTGCGTGGTCCCAAGGTGTTTATACTTGCATACTATTGTTTGTACAGATGAACGTGGTACCGTCAGGCGTTACGAAATTGCTCCCAAGGATGAACCAGACTTGTGGAGGTCTACAAAAAAAAGAATCTGAGGTCTTGGCTGATTTCTTTTGATTTTTCCCATGATGTCAAGCAAAGAGGCACTGAGTTTGAAGGTAGGCCTTGAAATACATCCACAGGTACACCTCCAATTGTCTCAAATTATGTCCATTAGCCAATCAGAAGCTTCTAAAGCCATGACATCATTTTCTGGAATTTTCCAAGCTGTTTAAAGGCACAGTCAACTTAGTGTATGTAAACTTCTGACCCACTGGAATTGTGATACAGTGAAATAATCTGTCTGTAAACAAATCTTGGAAAAATTACTTGTGTCATGCACAAAGTAGATGTCCTAACCGACTTGCCAAAACTATAGTTTGTTAACAAGGAATCTGTGGAGTGGTTGAAAAACGAGTTTTAATGACTAACTTAAGTGTATGTAAACTTCCGACTTCAACTGTAGGTCCATATATAGATATATAGTCTTAGCCTACTTCTTTCAGGTAATACATTCAATGCAATATTAGCCTTCTATCTAGCTAATGGATGGTGGGTTATGCATAATAAGCTTCCAACTTATAGCCTCTGTCTCTTGCGCAATACGCACGCAACTGTGCTCCGCTGGCCTCTCTCTGTAAAAAAGGCTCCTTAGCTCTTGGAGACCCATGCAGGAAAAGCTAGACTAGAATAGCTTGCTGGACATTATGTTTTGGGCATTTCTTATACTAATAGACTATTTGAAGAGGGGCGCAAGCTCTTGTTTGTTGAATGTTAAATACAGCAGCCAATAGAACTCACGGTTCATTTGAAAGAAGAGCGAACGCTTGATGGCGGTAGGCTATTGCAGTTATTTATTCAACCCTCGTGAAGAGAAGTGAAAGCCTTCTGCATCTCATTCTAGTCCTATATTTTTCAAACATGTCATGAGAATGATGAAGATAAGGACAACAACTTATTTCATTTAACTGTTGAAAGCGAGGAAGGAATGAAGCAACACTAGAGAGAGAAAGAGGTGGTAGGCTAATGACGTTAGTGGAAATATTAAGATTTTTTTTCTTCTAATTGTTCTCTCCCTGCTAATCATGGTTTGAATGATGTGTGTAATTCCAGTCCGTATAATACAATACAGTACAGTAATACAGTTCACACTCAAAAAGATTAGCTTGTTTCATTTATTTACCCAAGAGAGCATAGCTAGGCCTAGATCTATTAGCTTTTATGTTTTTCTGTCGAGCATAATGTGCAGTAGCCTATATAGCATATTGGATAACGGCACAATCATTTGGGCTTTTTTGGGCTTGGGCTCATTAAATATATTTAATCAGGCTCAGGTTGCATCAGGCTTGAATTTTCGATCAACGCTCTAATCAAATCCAGACAGGCCTATTTAAATGCTTTATAATGCTTTTAAATGACACTTCCGGTTTTGGTAGGAAATACCGGGTTACCCGGGAGAAAAGTGATTTATTCTCGGGATGGAAAATGTGTAAAATACCGGGAAAATATTCCACCCTAATACTCACTCTGTCCCACAGCCTCGCCCACATTCCTTACTGTCATCCATACTGACTCACTGTCAGCTGACTCGGTCCATCTTGTCTCGCTCTCACCCACAGGTTTCTGCTCCACCTGGCAGAGAAGACAGGAGGAGTTATTGTCACCAATGACAACCTGCGGGACTTTGTAAATACATCAGAGGCATGGATGAGGATCATCCAAGAGAGGTGAAGGCCTTTTAACCAATCGTCAGACATGCACTCATTTCTCCACAGACATTTTATATAATCCCTGGACACAATACCTTCTCCCACACTGACTGCCCCCTTTTTCCAGGCTTCTGCAGTTTACCTTTGTGGAGGACCACTTTATGATCCCAGATGACCCCCTGGGGAAGCATGGCCCCCACCTGGAGGTGTTCTTACGGAAGGACAACAGGTGTGTGTGAAAGGAGATGATAGTATTGTTTATACAGTATGACATTACTGCAGAGGTGTGTGTGTATTGACCATACGTGTGTCTCTCTCACAGACGGAGCTCAGTCACACCTCCTCTGAGGCCAGACCCTCGAGCCACCCCGCAGCTGGTCTATGTCCAAGCTCTGCAGTCTTCACCCCGCCCCTCATCTTCCCCCCGCCCCACAGCTACCCCCCAGATGAGGCCACCCTCCCACTGGCCACATTCTGGGCCCCCTGGGTGGCACCCCCCCCACCCAACACCCTCACCCCCTCCACAGAGGTCACACGCTCCTCGCCCCTCACCCCCTCTTCAGCGATCGCACACCCCTCGCCCAACACCCTCTCCCCCTCCCCAGCGTTCACTTTCGGAAACCATAGAGCTCAAAAGGAAGCTGTACGATATCTTCCCCGACCAGAAGCAGCGCATTGACTGTATCCTGAGTGACAACCCCTACATGAGAGACCTGAATGCACTGTCAGGCCTTCTGCTGGGATGAAACCAAGCACACATACCGTACTCAGCCACTCACACACAGATACACTTACATGTCTCTGTCGAAGGAGGGTGCCAATAGTAGGCCTATGTACAGAAAACTGAGCTATTTAAAGTTTTGTATTAAAGACGATGGTCAACTGCACTGCTCTTGGGGATGGCTATTTGTTTGGAAGACATAACTCTCTCCTTTTTCTACACGTTTTAAGTTCAGCAGTGTCCATGGAACATATGCACTTTTATGACATTTCTCAATCGTTTGCTTTCGAGTGAAACCATAAATTGTGGGGAAGGAATTGTCCAGCTGGCATATACTGTATGTAGTGTGCACATATTTGTTCTAAGTACTTATTTCCTGTAATTTGTCTCTGCACAAGTCTTTAAGGTGTGAAACCAAATTGTGTTGAAATTGCTATTGCTGTAATAACTGCTGAAGGAATGTTATTTTGTTCATGTTGTAATATAATTTGTTTCTATATGATTTTGTAAATATCAACATTGACATGTGCATATATGGTTTTATGTAATTAATGACAAAAATACAAACAGCCCCATAAAGAAGCTTTATTTTTATTTTTTTACTAGTGATACTTAATTCCTCCAGTGATTCACAATCTAGTGCTTTGATACCAAGTTGGCAGATGCAAGGCCTGGAGGCACCAGTGCCCTGTCCAAGTACAATCCTGTGCTGAGAAAATTATATGGAAAAGATTATCTAAAACATCTGAGGAAATTATATTCCTTGAATGACATCACAAATATTACTTACAGAGTTTGGCTGCTAAGTCCCTTATCTTCCTGTACTGATTGGCCATTGTATCTTCTGGAGAGTCCCAGACTGACTCAGAGCCCAGAAGAAGAGCCAACTTACCCATGTTACTCAATGATCTGGAACACCCTGGCCACTCTCGTGCAAGTTACTATCTTTTGTAATGGTAACAACATAGCAAACCCGTGATTCATTATTGGTTAGATAAGACCCCGGTCACCAGCTACAGCCACCAGAGGTCACTGTGAACCAAGCAGTCAGGGGCTAGTTGGTACTGGATCACTTATTGCTAAAAGATCTCATCACAGATGAGTGGCCTGGCTATTATGATGAAATCAATTTGCTTCAGTTGTGTATAGCTTCAGTTTTGTATAACAAGGTGCATCCATTGTGTATAACTAATATTCAACTCTTTTTGGAGATGTTTGTCAGTGTATTCTACCAGGGAGGTAAAACTTTGGACTCTGTCTCCAAGTCCCCTTTCTGTTGTTTCTTCTCTATATAATGTAAAGGATGTCAGTCACTGATGTTTGATTTACATTTTTTTCCTTTTCAGATTTCTACAACCACGGAAATGCTGTGGTATCACCAATGAGGGCACAGGCGTTCTGTGGGTATCTCACAGTTACTTGAAAGACAGGGTGTATATTTGATCTCCACAGGCTGGTAAAGTTAATAAAGGCCAACTGTTTGTCATAAACGAGACCTTTTCTTATTTCTGTATGTTGATGTCTTTGTTCTAACCATATATTTTTTAACTGTTTTGTTGGTGTGTGTTGACATGTACTCAAAACAAAAAATAGTAATATACAGTGCATTCGGAAAGTATTCAGACCCCTTGACTTTTTCCATATTTTGTTACGTTACAGCCTTATTCTAAAATTGATTAAATTGAAAATGTTCTTCATCAATCTACACACAATACCCCATAATGACAAAGCAAAAACAGGTTTGTATACATTTTTGCAAATGTTTGAAATATGAAAAACTGAAATATCACATTTACATAAGTATTCAGACCCTTTACTCAGTACTTTGTTGAAGAACCTTTGGCAGCAATTACAGCCTCGAGTCTTCTTGGGTATGACGCTACAAGCTTGGCACACCTGTATTTGGGGAGTTTCTCCCATTCCTCTCTGCAGATCCTCAAGCGCTGTCAGGTTGGATGGGAAGCGTCACTGCACAGCTATTTTCAGGTCTCTCCAGAGATGTTCGATCGGGTTCAAGTCCGGGCTCTGGCTGGGCCACTCAAGGACATTCAGAGACTTGTCCCGAAACCACTCCTGCGTTGTCTTGGCTGTGTGTTTAGGGTCGTTGTCCTGTTGGAAGGTGAACCTTCGCCCCAGTCTGAGGTCCTGAGCGCTCTGGAGCAGGTTTTCATCAAGGATCTCTCTCTACTCCGTTCATCTTTCCCTCAATCCTGACTAGTCTCCCAGCATGATGCTGCCACCACCATGCTTCACCATAGGGATGGTGCCAGGTTTCCTCCAGACATGACGCTTGGCATTTAGGCCAAAGAGTTCAATTTTGGTTTCATCAGACCAGAGAATCTTGTTTCTCATGGTCAGAGTCCTTTAGGTGCCTTTTGGCAAACTCTAAGCGGGCTGTCATGTGCCTTTTACTGAGGAGTGGCTTCCGTCTGGCGACTTTACCATAAAGGCCTGATTGGTGTCCAATCAATTGAATTTACCACAGGTAGACTCCAATCAAGTTGTAGAAACATCTCAAGGATGATCAATGGAAACAGGATGCACCGGAGCTCAATTTTGAGTCTCATAGCACATGGTCTGAATACTTATGTAAATACGTTTTTATATATATATATATATATATATATATATATATATATACATACACACACACACACACACATTTGCAAAAATGTATAAAAAGCCTGTTTTCCCTTTGTCATTATGGGGTGTTGTGTGTAGATTGAGGGGAATTTTTATTTAATCAATTTTAGAATAAGGCAGTAACGTAACTGTGGAAAAAGTCAAGGGGTCTGAATACTTTCAGAATGCACTGTACATTATAATAGAAACTGTGAGAAACAGTGAATGCAGAAGGGTACGGCTGTGAAGCATTTGCTCAAATACATTTATTTAGGCTGATTAACTCTTACCAAATGTATAAAGGGGGAGACAACTGGCATCCTTTACTGACTGCTGATCAGTGGAAGTAGTGACATGTAATATCTACAAAACTTATCTTCATGAGAAAGTTAATTCAATATAGGTGGTGCACACACCTTTGCAGTCAGGTCGAGCCTGGTGAGCTTGAGCATCAGAGTTTGTTTAGACATCATGAGGTAGCAATTCAGTGATCATTATAATTGGATGAGAATCATGAATGCACTTTGTGGCTTATTAGTGTGGCTATTTGCCTCATTGATCCCACACACAACAGTTACGCTAAGGTCAGCGAGCCAGGCTGTATCACTGCCATCCCTTTGAAAACAACACAAGATCATTACTAGCTTTGGGTTACCAAGGTACTAAATTCAAAACATCCCTGTTTTGAATGCCAGGAGTTGTAGTGGTTTCCTCATAGGCTAGTTCTTCAGGGAAGCCCTTGTCCCCAAAGGTCTTAGTTATGTAAGAAACATATTCTACTCAACCGTCTTCATTATGCAAACAGCAACTTCTTTAAACAGAAACCACAAAGGTTTGCATACAAACTGAGTTAGCGGAACTAGGCCCTACTTACAGACCTATGGAGGAGTAACGTCAAACATGGTTTCCGTTTGCCGGTAATAGCCGGCTTTTGGCTCCCCCACCCAAAAGAAGGAAATGAGAAGAAAATAATTCCCATTGCGAAATAATGCATTTGAGCCTATTCATTGATTGAAATACCAGTTGATGTCGTGCAAGAGCTGCTGATACAGCTCAAACAGCTGTTTGTTGCTGCTGGAGTGAAACATGCCTTAATAAGCCCAATCATTGCACAACAATTCTAAAAGGCAATGGCATGTAAAAAATAATAATAATAATAATAATAATGGCCAGGATTGAAAATAACTACTATTTTTATTTCTAAACTGATAATTGAAGCATGCTTCCCATCCATTCAAATGCATAGGCAAGTAGGCAGGCTTCAGCGCATCACACACCACTTTGCAATGAGCTGGAGGCAGTATGCATTTTGAAAACATATACATATGAGGCGTCTTACCTTGCTTTAAAGTAGCCTAGCCAAAATCCAACCAAACATGCAGGCAATTATTTTAAAGAATTCCATATGCCATTGAAACCAGTAAGTAGCATTTTTCTCTCATGTTCTATTGGTTTTCAAATCAACCTTCTTTCATTGTCCAGCAGCCAAAGACACAATCCTAGTCATATTAGCAACCAATGCTAGTTGTTGCATATTTAGATCTGTTTGGATTGATTGACTGATTTTATTTGTCAGTTTAAAAAATACATACAAACATATACACAGCTCAAAAAAATAAAGGGAACACTAAAATAACACATCCTAGATCAGAATGAATGAAATAATCTTATTAAATACTTTTTTCTTTACATAGTTGAATGTGCTGACAACAAAATCACACAAACATTATTAATGGAAATCAAATGTATCAACCCATGGAGGTCTGGATTTGGAGTCACCCTCAAAATTAAAGTGGAAAACCACACTACAGGCTGATCCAACTTTGATGTAATGTCCTTAAAACAAGTCAAAATGAGGCTCAGTAGTGTGTGTGGCCTCCACGTGCCTGAATGACCTCCCTACAACGCCTGGGCATGCTCCTGATGAGGTGGCGGATGGTCTCCTTAGGGATCTCCTCCCAGACCTGGACTAAAGCATCCGCCAACTCCTGGACAGTCTGTGGTGCAACGTGGCGTTGGTGGATGGAGCGAGACATGATGTCCCAGATGTGCTCAATTGGATTCAGGTCTGGGGAACGGGCGGGCCAGTCCATAGCATCAATGCCTTCCTCTTGCAGGAACTGCTGACACACTCCAGCCATATGAGGTCTAGCATTGTCTTGCATTAGGAGGAACCCAGGGCCAACCGCACCAGCATTTGGTCTCACAAGGGGTCTGAGGATCTCATCTCGGTACCTAATGGCAGTCAGGCTACCTCTGGCGAGCACATGGAGGGCTGTGCGGCCCCCCAAAGAAATGCCACCCCACACCATGACTGACCCACCGCAAAACCGGTCATGCTGGAGGATGTTGCAGGCAGCAGAACGTTCTCCACAGCGTCTCCAGACTCTGTCACGTCTGTCA